AGCTTATACTTAAACCAATGTAACTAAAAAACTATTTAAGCTAGAGCAATGCAAGTTATTTTCAAACGTTTATGGTTAAATTCGCTACTCAAAAATACCATATATTAAATACATATAATTTGTTTCAAGGTCATTATTATTTTTCAAAGTTCACAATTTATAAAAACATAATGACATATTTCTTTTTATTTCAATTTTGCACCTTAATTACTCAAAATATGACTATAATATGCATGATAAAGATTGTAGACCTTTAAATTTGGCATCGAATACATCTATTGGATGCTTTGTTAGATCAAGGATAACGTCAGAACATAGCGTTAGAAAATAAATTATTTATTGATTTTCAATGAAAAATAAGGATATTTTATATGTTCAATAAAATTGTAACATCTTTCCTGAGACCATCCGGTACTTCTCCCTGGCTGTTTTTGGTATTAAAATGTTTGTAAAATTACTAAATTTCATTTGAACTATTACCTATTTATATTTAAGGACTTTAAGGCCGATCTATTCATCTCCACTCCAAAGAAACGATATTTTTTCAAAAAGGAAAGTTTAAATTTAGATCAACCCATTGATTTATTATTATTAGATGTTGTATGTATTGCAATAAAAACACTCAGTAAACAACTGGCTTCCATTTGACATCAAGATCACTGATACTGAACGAGTTGGAGGTGAATTACAAGACTTCAACCAAAAAAGATTTTAATGTTTGTATAATTTTCTTTGAATCGATAATAATATACTCAGGAAACTACTGGCTTTCATTTGAGGCATTGGTCATTCAAATCCATCGGGTTTGAGGGGATTTATAGAACTTTAACCAACTAACATTTGAGTTTTTCCATGATTTCTCTTCAATTAAACGTATTACTTCTGGTTATAATTACGTTACATGAAAGGTTATATACTAGAAATAGTCAGTGAGTTACTGGCTTTAATTTAAGCCATTGACTATTCAAATCGGTTGAGTTCAATACGAGTTGTGGACCCCCACACAACAAAAAAAATAGATTTTTACAATTTATCTTTAGTTAATGATTGTGTCTTCAGTTATTTTTACGTGATATTGTATGTTTTGGTATGAGTATACTCAGTGAATTAATGTGGTTCTTTAGAGCTATTATTTATTGAAATCTGACATTTTTGGGGCGAGTTATAAGCTTAAACGTAGAATAAAACTTGTTTTTTCTTAACTTTCTTCTATATTTAAAGAGATATTTCTCAGCTGCTATGTATACTATGTTTTTCGTTCCGGTCTAAAAACACTATGTCAACTTAGAACTTTCATTTGAGACAATTTTCATTCAAATTTATAGTGTCTAAGGTGAGTTGTAAACCTCTAACTAGCATTAGGTTTTCAATTTTTAAGGACTGTCTTTGATTAAAGATCTATAACTCAAGCTCTAAATGAGCTGTGTTATTCATTTTGGCGAAGAAAACCTCAGTAAACTATGGGTAAACTCGGATATGAACCTAATATGGTTTATTAATATCAAGTTGTTTTATTGTTGCGCTTCATATACACCAGTGAACAGAATTGAAAAGATGTATAGTTGCGTGAACTCAGGCTTACCTAGCCCAGTATTTTGCCATTGTTGATATAATTCCTGTTTAAATGGATAAAGACAAACTCAAGACGACAGTGAAGACTACGACAATGTAGGATAATGAGTTAATACCCCCGCTGCAGCAAACCTGCCGACTACATTTTCCATTTGCCTGGATAGATTTTCAATTAATCTATTAAATTAACATTTATGTTTTAACGAGTACCTAGGTTTGCTGCTACAGGGAAACTAATCAAGTGTGTTTTTATTAAAATATTAATAGCTTAGTATAAAATAAATAAATCTGCCAAGTTTGATCAAAATATATCAAAAAACAAGCCAACTACAACATTTTACAATATTCTCCATAAAAATAACATGGAAATTTTTAATGAACAATTTTTTTTTAATTTTCTCCGTGACCAATAACCGTACAAAAACACTTTGGTAAAAAGGTCTAGAAAAGGTTATACATTTTGTATTTTAAGGGGGAAAATTAGAAAACCCCATTATTACCCCATCTAACCCCCCTAAACCCCGTTCCCAGGGTCCGATCATGCTGGCTCGTGGAATCATTCGATTTTATAAAAACTTAACACGTTCAAACCAAATTTTATCAAAATCGGACAAAAATTACTCAAGTCATCGTCTTCGCGGACATCATGGCCTCTGGGGACATCAAAATGAAAAAGTAAATCGGTCCCGGGCCTAGTTCTTACAATGAGACCTACGGTAATAGCTACTTTTCTAAAGAGAAATTCGCTAATAGTCACTAAGGTTGCAGAAACGTTATTAACAAGTTTTTACATGTGGCCAATTATTTAAGTTAAAATTTTACACGAATAAAATATTTATGCTGCAATACAAAATAATAAAATTCCACTATGTTGAAATCGATTTTTTTTTTTACATATTGTATTTTTCAATTTAACGCAAATACTAACAAGCATAGCCACAAGTGCAACGGGAATTCAGCTAACTTAAAGATTGAGTATTATTATTACATGCCATCATAATAATGTAAAGAATGTGTCTTGCCAGTAACTTAAAGAAGCTCAGGTTTAAATTGGCAAAACTTATATTTTGTTTGCTTAGAGGTAACACTAAACACAACAACAAAGAGGTAACAAGGTCGTATAACAATTTTTTTTAATTGGGCAAAAAATGCAATTTTTAAGATCAAACCCATTTTTTCCGCCGCCATTTTGAAAAATCTTGACTGATATGGCTTATATCTGGTAAATTTATGAGTAGGACATTATGACGAGGATTTATACTAAATTTCATGATATTCAAACTAAAAATGCATAGTTTATAGCTTAATTACCATGTTTTAAAATCAAATTATTTTTTTAATATAGGCAATTATTATCTCAAATTCTAGAAGTTTCCCAAAGGTAATTTGTAAGTACCGGTACCCGCTATTTTCTGCATCTAAATACTACCAAAATTATATATCAACAATAAAAAAGCGTAATAGAATAAAAAAAGGTTCAAGGAAAATTCCCTGTTTGGCTGCCGGACTATTCCCAATTTACAAATCAACAAATTACAAAAAAATTATTTTTTATTGATTTATGATCTATACCTCAAACTTTTTGTAATCCAAATATCAATATGTTCAAAAAATCCACTACGTTACCGACTGTTTTCATATGAAAACATAAAACATAACATAATTATCACTAAAGATATAGAGCTTTGATGAGACTTTTTTTTAGGGATGGTCAAGTCTCGAAATTTCGGGAAATTTTAAATCTCGTTACACGAGACAAGATTTCTTTTTGGCCGAGATATTTATCGAGACGAGAATAAAAAAAAAATTAAAAACGCCTGCAGAAAGTCAATGCAATACCCGCAATACAGGAGCGTGTTGTAGTTGCGTTTCCTTTGCGAAGGTGTTCTTATTTAATTAATTCTTCAAATGTAAATATTACTTTAATTATTTTAATAACATTTGAGAAGTATTGTTAAGTGTTAGCAGTGTGAGGAATGTTTTATTACTATAAAAAAAGTCAAAACAAGTAACTATTTTATAAAAATTAATATTTTATTTTATGATTTATTTTATTTTAGGATAAGTTGAACTCTATCCTAACTGATATCACTATGTTTCCTAATCGTAGGCATTTTTAATAAGTTAGGCGTGATTAATAAAAAAATGTTATGCTGATGTTATTTAAGCCTGTTATTTAATTGTAAATATTCTTGCCTATTATCATTATTTTTGTATTTAAACAGTCATCTAACAATGTTACAAAATCAGGTAAAAATTCCGAACGTGCATTTCCCGTTGTGTATGAGAAAGGAAATCCCGACTCGATCTTGTCTCGAAATTTTATGAGAAATAAAAAATCTTGTCTCGTCTCGTCTCGAACTAAAAATCCAATCTCGTCCATCCCTACTTTTTTTATAACTAAAATTACTCTTTTTTTGGGGGGGGGGGGGTTATAACTAGCTTATTAATCATCCTAAGATTTGAGCGTAAATGAAAGTCGTTGGTTTACCGAGCATTTTGATACCAAAAACCGTAGAAAAGAACTACAGAATATTCTTAGGAAGAATTATATAAATTATTCTCATTCATTAGATACCCCTCTTTATAGTAGAAAAAAAATTAATAAAAATTATTGTTTACGCTTTGTTGTGACATTATCCTTGATCCAACAAAGATCCCTATAGGTGCATTGGATGCGCAATTTCAATATCTACAACTTTTGTAACATGTATAATGGCCTTTTTTTAAAGAGACTTAAGCACAAAGTTGAAAAAAATGGGGATAGAACATATTTTTTTCCTAAATTATTAATTTTAAAAAGAAGTACTGGGCTTAAAATACTCAATATATAATTAAAATATGATATTTTCCTGCATGGAATTTCACTGTGAGTATTTTAAAATAGTTCGCACTGCTGTAGATAGCATGGTATTTTCATAACATAGGTTTAAGTAAAAGCTTACACTGTAAATTAAGTTTTCCGCCATTTTCCAAGATGGCGGCTATTGCCCAAGGGTACCAAAAAAGTACCCGGTGGTTTTATGGTCTACATACCCTAAATAACTCAAATCAACAATAAAATAAACTTAATAGAACAAAACCAGGTTAGGGACAAAATCCTCATTTGGCTGCCGGACTAGTTTATATATAATAGTTTTGCCAGCACATCTGATCATTGTTTTTAAGTTTTTAGGGATACCATTTTAACTGACCTTAGAGTTATCTGACCTAGGTCCGGTCCTTTTAGGGTCAGTTAAGAGGGGGTCTAGTGTACCAGAAAGCCTTTGATGAGAAATTGTTTAGTGTCATTTGATCATGGTACTATTCAATATTGCAAAACACTATTTATAATAAGTGCTGAGTTAAATGAAAATTGTACATTATAAACTTGTTATTAGAAAGAGATTCCAGCAAGATTGTCTTATATCATTAAAAAATGTTTGTACCTTTTAGCAATTGCTGCTTGACCTGTTGCTGAACCAAAGTGAGTTGCTGTGGGGTGAAGTCTGAGCCGGTTAGTCCCTGCAGCACGATGCGTGGACCCTGTGGAGTCTGTATGACCTGAGCTGTGATGGCTTTGATCACAGTGCCTGGTGGCTGGTTCACCAGCAGAGCTGCCTCCTGCTCTGGTGTCAGCTGACCACTCATCTTCAGGGGGGACTGCACCAATCACAGGTATCAGCAATACTTTAAATGCTAACTTTACAGTGAATTAACCTTCCATCAGGCGCACTACGGAAGTTAACTCCGGGTCACTACATTTTTCGTTATAAAAACTATAGTTTGCATTTGGCAGGTCTGTCGCCTGACGCTCTTTCGCGGAATCGGTTTCAGCTACTCTTAGCCTTTTCCCAGGTGTCAGTCGACCTTGGGGAGTGGTTCGAGCCACTACTGGAAGTAGCTTCTGTGAGCGCCCTGTGATGTAACGGGTTTGGATATTATAAAATGGATGAAGAAGAACGAATTGCACGATGGTTGGCTAGAGTTAAAAGGGAGGACAGGTTGTACAAATTTGGGAATTTCACTATTTTTCCACTTTTTTTAAGATCGAGACCTTTATTTCCTCTTCCGTCGTTCTACGACTTCCCAGTCGCCTACAATTTTGACACAAAGAACCGCCTTACGTAATTACCTAATATATAGCTGGTACTGTAATTGTTGTAAGAAAACCATGAATGTACGATACTATCCATTTTCATAGTAAATAAAATTTATAAAATTTACAATATTGGTTTACTGACCTTAAAATTTCTGTACCGCAGACCCCTACTGCAGAGACCTCATTCATCTTTTTTTTTTATCATCTTTTTAAAATGGTATCAGTATCGAGAATCGATTTTCAGATAATGATGATGACGATTTTGTTATTGACCAATCACTTATATCGATTAAATAAAACGTTTAATTTGTAATACAAACTAAACAAACCTGAGGAGGCTGAGGCGCAGGGGCAGGGGTGGGAGCAGCAGTCTGAGCAGAAGACACTACCTTGGTGACAGTCTTGATCTGTGGCTGAGCAGGGGATGTGACAGTCTGGCCTCCTTGGGTCTTAATCATCTGAGGTGCTGCTCTTATCAACACCTGTTGACCTTGGATAGTGGCGAGGGTGGCCTTGCCTGATGCTAGTTGCTGTACAAGACTCGGGTTGCTGACAATGATCTGATTGGTGTTGAGAAGCTGTCCCCCTTGAGTAACCACCTGCATCAAACGCAAATATTAATTTTAATTTGTAAATTGTACAAAGTTAATGAACTTAATCTATTATATTATTAAAGTGATACAATCAAATTTTATGTAAACGGTTAAGGTAATTTACCAAATAAAAATATAGGCATATGGCACATCAAAATGAAGCTTAGAGTGTGTAGATTTGCCGAAAAGTATTGATATGGGCGAATTTCCTAAGGGCTCTGCCCCAAAGGCTGATTTCCAAAGGGCTACGCCTGGCATGCTTCCAATGTTTAAATGATTTAATTTAATTTAGTTAATGAAACAGCTGGTCAGTACAATGAACTGGTGTTTGTTTATTTACTCGAATAAGATGTTTGTTTTGCTTTATCTAGATTGAGGAGGGTTATGTTTGGTTTTAAAGTGAGGTTGTATACGTTTTGTGAAGTATTGCTCAAAGTTTCATTTTTTTTATTTATATAGTAAGATACATGTGAAGAGGCTTGACTAAAATTGAAGGATTGTGGTCAAACATGTCATTTATGAACCATCAATATTAATCAATTGATACTATTGCTACACTAAGGTATGTTGTCATATTCTTATGGACCTATTAACATCAAAAGTAGGGGTTTGAAAGTAAGTAGGTTTACGCTTTTAAATCGGTTTATATTCTCAAACTAAATCATAGAGTTGCTGTATTTTAAAACACACATCAGCACCACTTTAATAGCTCTCTAGGTCACATTTTCTTCCCGTTGCAAAGCACGGGTATGGCAGCTTGTTCTTATATACACTAGGTAGATAGTAGCAAATGATTGTCACAGAAAAAATAGAAAGCAATATAGATGAACAATGTACCTGGGTAGCATTCGCACCACTGACAACGATTTGGCTTCCACTGATGACCTGTCCACCAGACATGACCACTGTTTGTGTTCCTGGCTGTGATGACACCTTCTGGATGATAGGAGAGGCATTGGATACACCTTGTCTCAGCACCACAGTCTGTTGAATAATAAACACAATAGTTTTGTTATTGAAACATTAATTTAAGTACCAATAGGAAGCCAGTATTCGTTACAAATGGACATTGATTTTATTAAGGATTGTAAAAAAGTACCTTATGTAGTAAAAGTTCAATTAACTGATTCTTGGTTATGGGTTTGACTCCAAGATTATGATGGATTAGTGAGTTGATCTTAACATCGAATTATTCCTAGGGGAGCAGTTAGCAGTTACCTGAGCAGGTTTCGCCGGTGTAGTAGTTACAGGCCTGAGCTGACGCAGAGCCCCGCCTGGGGTCTTGACCACTGTGACCTGCTGTGGGGCTGGAGACGCTAGGCGGGTTGAGCCTGCAGGGGCAGTGGGAGCACTGAACACATGAAGCTTACCATCCGGCATCTGCACCAATTGTTGACCTGCAAACATCAATCAAACTTACTGTGGTACATAACCGAACCAAATGTGGCTTCAAGCAGTAATATTATTCAATGCTATTTACAGAAATGGAACAAAATTAGTGAACATTACTGTGAATGTATGAATCACTGACAAAAACACTTGTAAAATGTTTGTTAATATTGTACATTGAAATATTATTTGTCTTACTCCTATCCATAAATAACTCTTAGCAGCCCAAATGACTACCATAGTAGGAAGTGGAAGCTACTGCACAAAATCAATGTTACTAAAGGTGTGACAGTACTATTGTGTAATCTGGCATTTTACCACAATGGTCATCATATGGCGCAAAGTAGCAACTCCTATAAAGTTCATGGTTTCATCTGCTATATAATAATTTATGGAGATTGACAGTTCACTGTACGGTACTACAGCAGCTGACAATTGTTTGTAAACAAGATTGTTTACAAGACTGTTGATGCAAAAACTTTCCAGGGTCTGCAAACGCTATCTTTGAATGTTGTAAAATGTTCTAATGCTTGTTGGTAAACTGGTTTATTGCCAAAGGGAACTCCATTGTTGCACTACATGGAAAGAAATGCCTACAAAACCTCTAGTCCAGTGCCGATCCTTTTAGAAGACTGTGTGTTATTTCTTTTTCCTACAGTTACCTAACAATGTACATGTTCTCTCACTGATTTGAGAAAGCAAAGTGGCCAATTCGCTCCTTGGTTCCTTGGGTTCATGGACAATGTTAACATCGTCTCACTCTAATTACTTTGTCTAACTCACTCCAGATTTGCAACGTGAAGGCACGAAATAGTGAGCGCATAACATGCAGACAAGGTCGTATGCGAGCGAAATACGTTGGCAGTACTGGCTGTAAATCAGCTGGTTAGCTGTTGTAACTGTTGTATCATTAAATGTCATATTAAAAGTTCACTTCCGTGTAAAAATGTGTCACGTTTCTTTACCAATTTATTTGTTAGGAAAAATATAATATGCATCTCGAGTGCAAAGTGCAATTGCCTCACTTGAGAAACCATTCCTCACTCGCCTACGGCTCGTGAGTAAGTATTTCTCTCGAGTGAGTCAATTGCTCCCTTTGCTCACTAGTTGCACAAATAACTATTATCTGTTATGTGGTTGTCATTTGCATTATTTTTACCCTTGATGTTGATGCCAGTGGCATTTTCAAGAGAGACAATGTACAGTGTACTCAAATTATGCTTTTAGGGAAAGCGGTCCAACCCTATATGTGCTGGGAATCGAACCCTTCCCTCCCTCCCCCACCAAAGCCCGAGACACTAACCACCAACACACTCTCGTTTGTGATACTGGCAGGCATATGAGTTTCATGAAGCCAAAAATATAACAGTTTATACCAATCGGACCAAAGGGATAATTTCTTGCCACTTTTCCTTAAATTTTGTTGGATTTAAAATCTACAGTATTTAAAAATGTTAAAGTCCTATTTTATCTGACCCTAATCTACTTACTAGTTCCTCAAAATATGTTGTCCTTTCACAAACAAAGTTCCCTAAACAAATTAATTAACAAAACATTCCGAGTTTTCTCCTCTTACAGCCTTATTTTGATTTTGAAGAGTGTTAATATTGCTGCAGTAGAGGAACAAATCAATACTGTTCATAACGCAAAGGCAATGAGGATTGAGTATTGACCATAAAAAAGAACATCTGTGAGGTTACATATCTAATTTGAGCAATAAAATCATGATGACAACACTGGTAGGCTATTTGCGATTTTTAAATTGTTTTAATTTTTAAGATAGACCATGCTCAATGTGGACAGTGTCTACCTCACCCCGTATGTGGCTATCCGCGACATCCGCGAGAAGATAGACCGCTTGGAAGAGAGCGTGCATGACACCACAGGGCATGTAGTTGTTGCTGGTGATTTCAATGCTAGGGGCTGTCGAGTGGGGAACGACCTTCACTAATTCCCGGGGGAAGTACATCCTGGACTTTGCTGCCAGAGCCGGACTCGTTGTCATTAACGAGGGCAACACGCCAATGTTCCAGTGACCCGGGATGAGGGGGACAATGACATAACCCTTGTATCTGACTCTATTCTGCAGAGGATCACAGCCTGGAGAGTCTTGGAGGATTATACGGCCAGCGACCACCATTACATTATTTTCGATGTCTTAGATCGTCTCCCGATACAAGTTGCTGTGTCTCGGGAAGTGCCCTTTCGGTGGAACAGCAAAAAACTGGACGTGGCTAAATTCACTAAGGTTATCCTGCGGGGAGTGCCAGCGGTGACTGCTCCATCTCATGCAGAGGCATCAGTAACATCGATGATTGGAGCTAATTGCTTCGGCTTGTGATAAGTCAATGCCCCGCAAGAGACTCCATTGCGATAGGCGACCTGTATACTGGTGGACTGCTGAGATCGCGGATTTGCGTCCAGCTGCTTTTAGAGCTAGACGACTCTTTATCAGGGCCAGGGCACCCATGGATAGACGCAGTAAGTTGGAGAAGTAAAAGGTGGCGAGGAAGTCTCTCTGTCGGGCCATCAACCGGAGCTAACACAATTGCTGAAAAACACTAAGGGATGATGTCAATTTCGACCCGTGGGGCCTGGGTTACAAACTAGTAACCCAAAAACTGTGACGCACAGCGGCACGCTATAATTTATATAGTGTAAGCATTTCGCGAAGCCGGGCTGCATGACCGTCTCGTTGCCTGCCGCGACTGCATTAACGCGCTATCCCCACCTCCCTAAACTCTTGTCCTCCCGTCCTTGCTCTTCCAGCCGTCGTAAAAGGTGCAGCAGAATTTTCCGGCCCTTCACCATCTATTATGGATAAGTCTTTTACTAGGGATGGACGGGTCCCGAATTTTCGGGAATTATTCGGGAAAAAAATGTTCCCGATTATCGGGACGGGATTACATTTTATTCGGGAATTTTTCGGGACGGGATTTGGTCCGATCGTCGGCGATTTTGCCGCTTCGCGAGTGCCGATAACGCCGCTATTGCGAGCGATAGGTCCGCGAACGCAGGAGACGATTTCGACGATCATTCAACCGTCATTTCGACGATTGCGCCGTGACCGCGGAGTCATAACGACGATCGCACCGTGACCGCGGAGTCATACCGACGATCGCGCCGTGACCGCGGAGTCATACCGACGATCGCGCCGTGACCGCGGAATCATGCGGACGATCGCGCCGTGACAGCGGAGTCATGCCGACGATTGCACCGTGACCGCGAGTCATACCGACGATCGCGCCGTGACCGCGGAGTTATGCCGACGATCGCACCGTGACAGTGGAGTCATGCCGACGATCGCGCCGTGACCGCGGAGTCATACCGACGATCGCGCCGTGACCGCGGAGTTATGCCGACGATCGCGCCGTGACCGCGGAGTCATGCCGACGATTGCACCGTGACCGCGAGTCATACCGACGATCGCGCCGTGACCGCGGAGTTATGCCGACGATCGCGCCGTGACCTCGGAGTTATGCCGACGATCGCGCCGTGACCGCGGAGTTATGCCGACGATTGTGCCGTGACAGCGGAGTCATGCCGACGATTGCACCGTGACCGCGAGTCATACCGACGATCGCGCCGTGACAGCGGAGTCATGCCGACGATCGCGCCATGACCACGGAGTCCTGCCGACGATCGCGCCGTGACCGCGGAGTCATGCCGACAATCGCGCCGTGACCGTGACCGCGGAATCATGCCGACGATCGCGCCGTGACAGCGGAGTCATGCCAACGATTGCACCGTGACCGCGAGTCATACCGACGATCGCGCCGTGACCGCGAGTCACAAGTTTCTTTAGGTACCTGTATATTGTTACCTATTTTTTTGGTTTTTATAGATCAGTACCAAAAACGGTAAAAATTGATTTTGTATGTCTTTTTTTGTACCTGTATATTGTTACCTATTTTTTGGTTTTTATAGATCAGTACCAAAAACGGTAAAAATTGATTTTGTATGTCTTTTTTGGTAACTGCTATACTCAAGACTTTCTTTTTATACACAGAAAAAATCCCGTCCCGTCCCGAAAATCGGGAAGGAAATAAAAATCCCGTCCCGTCCCGTCCCGAACTAAAAATTCAATCCCGTCCATCCCTATCTTTTACCATAACTATTTAGGACTAAAACTAGAAGTAATGTCTGGCTAAGTTCAGGAAACAAGCGGGGATCCCTTCTGGCTCACCCGACTATTGAATTGAGGTAAATTAACCCTTAGTTGAGATGTTTACGCGCTATCCCCACCTCCCTAAACTCTTGTCCTCCCGTCCTTGCTCTTCCAGCTGTCGTAAAAGGTGCAGCAGAATTTTCCGGCCCTTCACCATCTATTATGGATAAGTCTTTTACCATAACTATTTAGGACTAAAACTAGAAGTAATGTCTGGCTAAGTTCAGGAAACAAGCGGGGATCCCTTCTGGCTCACCCGACTATTGAATTGAGGTAAATTAACCCTTAGTTGAGATGGCTGCCTTCCGCAGCCATTCTTATCAAACCTGAAAATTGCAGTCACATGTTCCCAGAATGTAACTTATTAGTTCAATCAAATTCTTACATATTTCACATTCAGTATTCACTTTACATATTATTTCATTCACTCTGCAATATTTCTAAGCAATTATCCATGTTCAGTTCATAGTTGGAAGGATAGGTTCACAATTTAAATAGTTAGTTAAGTTAGTGTAAATCTAAGCTGGCTAGACAGGTGTTCTGATTTGGGTAAAGATCTCCGTCCCTCTGGTCCCCAGCAATCTTCCTAATTTTATTGGTAGCAGATTCAGCACGCTAAGTTAAGTATGGTCCAGACATAGCAATTCGAACCCTATTAGCATTACCCTGTTATTCCCTCCGAATTCCCGCCAATATCCCATAACCGCCATATATCCCCCCGGAACCCGCAATAGCAAACAATAGTCTCCCTCCTTCCTTCTTCCCCCCCCCCCCCCCCCCCCCGGCTACATATGTTACATTACAGCTACAAAACTCACCACCCGCTCTCCACCTTCCGTCATGGAGGGGGCTATTATGGAGAGGGTTGTCAAATCCCTTTTTCTGGATCATACGCTGGGCTAGTGATGTGCGTATCGATACAGATATCGATACAAGGACAGCAAAATATCAATATTTTGTATCGATACGTGGGAGTGTATCGATAAACCAATAGCCAATATCGTATCGAATATCGTATTGTTTATTTATTAATATAAATCTTATTTTTAAGGTTAGAGATTTTTCTTCCCATCTTCCTCCCCTCAAAAGTAGTAGTGGAAATTTGATATTTTACCCTACCATTCTCAAAAACACTGATAAAACATGTATTTTCAGCTGTTTTGCAAATAATCTCAAAACTAGGGCCACCATTAATGGAAGTGGGGAACCTCATTATCCATATTATACTATTTAATGTGTAAGTGGCATAACCACCATCATTATAAGTACTTTTTGGTTCAATTAATTATCCCTGTGTAAAAACTAGGAAAACAATAACTTAACAAAATGTTTTCCAATTTTGAGGGTTTACCGGAATTTGGAGGTTATGTATGAGTTTGATACAAATAAAAAGACACAAGACACAGGAGGGAAACGGCTTTTCTGAGGTAAGATTACAAGCACTAACCCTCTTTACAAGCTTGTAAGTAACATAGTGAAGCGTGTTACTATAGTTTATAGTAACGGTACTGGACTCATAGGATTGTTAAGGCTCAATATAATCAATCTAGTGTTGCAAGCGACATTCTGAGTTGAATAATAATGATCTTAAATTAATTACTGAGCCAAACCACATCCATTTTGATGATCTAATATTTCTAATGCATCTAATTAAATATACTACGGAAAAGACCACTGAAACTTCCACTCGTACCTTATGGGTACGAGTGTGCTCTAAGGTATAATTTACATATTAAGCTGAAATAATTAATAGTTCCCTAACCCCTTAATCCCCCCTTCCTGAAAAAAATTAGAACATATTTTAAAATTGCTTAAGGAAAACTTCCATCCATTCGGTGATGGAGTCCAGCCTTGACCATGGCGCCTACACCCTCTTGACTTCGGAACACGACTGTACTCTGTCTCTGCGCTTCCTACCCCCTCCCCCGTTCTCCAGCAATCAGCTGATCTTTACCGTCTGATGCGTCGCCGCTGTGACGCAAGCGTCACAATAGTATATGTCTATACAGCTTGTATATTTGAGATATTCAAATAAAAAAATATATATAAATAAACAATACGATACGATATTTTATCCGATACGGGTAAAAATCGATACATGAGGATACGATACGATACACCACGTTCCGATACTTATCGATACATTGGCCCTTATCGCACATCACTACGCTGGGCACACTGCTTGAGTTTGGGAGGATGTCCCACTCTTCACTTATGAGGAGCTTGAGACTGCCGTTCTATCCCCACAAACAACAAGGCTCCTGGACCTGTTGGGGTACCTGGCGAGGCTCTCAAGAAAGTTTTTTCAATCAATCCCCTGATTCTTCTGAGCACGTACAACGCCTGCCTGGCAGATGGGGTATTTCCATTGTGCTGAAAAAAATCTAGGCTCGTGCTCGTAAGGAAGGGGAAAGGAGACCCAGAACTGACGTCCTCTTACAGACCCCTTTGTATTTTGGCTACAGCTGGGGAAGACCTAGAGAAGTTGATCTGTTCCTGACTGAATTCAGCTGTGGTTGCTGCGGGGGACCTAAGCCCTCGTCAGAACGGCTTCAGGAAGGGGCGATTAAACGATCAACACTATTGAGGAGGTGAAGCGAGCCATGATGAGAGCTGAGGATTTTAATCACTACTCTCGTCGGGTTAAGCTTCCTGTTAAACTCTGTGTGCGAAACGCATTGATATGCTGGACGCTCTGGAGAACACCTTCCACGTCCCGGTATTCCTCTTGCGCATTATAGAGGATTACCTCCGGTTCCGCCTCCTCATGTATGATACTACAGAAGGCCCGCGGACGATGAGTGTCACTTCTGGTGCTGCCCAAGGTTCCATACTCGGCCCAGACCTCTGAAATGTTGCATACGACAGCCTCCTTAGGTCTGAAATGCCTGATGAAACCGTTTTAGTTGGGTACGCAGATGACATTGCGGCTTTAATAGCTGCTCGCAGTGTTGATCTGGCCCAGCTAAAATTAAACCGAGTCATGCGAACTATAAACGCATGGATGGCAGATCAAGGTCTCTTACTCGCTCTGAACAAAACTGCGATCGTGATTATGACCAAAAAGCGGATTGACACCATTGTGCTGTTGAGGGTGGGGGACATCGAATTCCAAACCGTTCGTGCCGCCAAGTATCTTGGTATCATGGTGGACACTAAGCATAGCTGGCGGGACCAGATATTCCGTAGTGCGGACAAGGCCGCTAAGGTGATTTCTTCTCTTAGCCGGTTAATGGCCATTGTCAGAGGTCCTCGTTCCAGTCGCAGAAGGCTGTTGATGTCTGCAGTTAAGTCTGTACTACTGTATGGTGCGGAAGTGTGGGCAGACACGCTCAATAAGGAGGTGTATAGGAAGCGGCTCGCCAGAGTGCAGTGTCAGGCAGCACTCAGGGTAGCATCCGCCTACCAAACAGTGTCTGAACCCGCCATCTTGGTGGTTGCTGTAGTTATCCCCATCAAACTTTTAGCAGCGGAGAGGAAAGCGATTTATCAGCGACGTGGGGAGGGCCATGCAAAAAAAGAAGAGCGCAACCGCACCCACCAGCTCTGGCAGGAGAGCTGGGAGCAGGAGACGCAGGAACGCTGGACCAGACTTTTTTTTGTGGGGGACCAGGAGACTTTTTTTTTAAAAAGAGGTTGGCGGCCTCTTTTAACCTTGCATATGCCCATCCAAATAGACTAAACGTCCGTGCAAGGATCGTATACAGCAAAGCAAGGAGTGAGCCGGTACAGTACAAAGGTGATCTGTACTGATAAAATGTTTTCGGCAGTGACCAGGATCCGAACCCACGACGTCGCTGCCTTGGGCCCGAAGTCTGCGACGCTACCGACTGGGCCACCGACTCACTAACTGCTGACTGATAAAGCAAGTCCAACTATGAGATGACTGACGGTATGGTGAGGTGGATTATTACCATTCTGACAGGTCACGGTATTTTCAGGTCGTACCTGTTCAGGATGGGCAAAGCCGTGTCACCTGATTGAATCTACTGCCCGGGCACTCCCGACGGCGCGGAGCACACCTTCTTCCGCTGCCAGCTTTGGGAAGTTTCTCGCCTAAAGGCTCAACAACGATGATAACGGAGGGTGAGGACAATTGGACCTGTATGTCACATTTTGTCCAGGGTATTCCCCGCGCCAAGAAGCTAGAGCTTGACCTCGATGCAGTCTAGGTCATAAAGAAATTGAATGCCATGAAACGGCGCGAGCCCTGAGGGCTTAGGTCACACGTTGACCTGATATGAAGTAATGTGACAAACAATCCCAAGCCAGTGTCCAACAGTAGAGGGGGTATTTTAGTGAGTAGTATGATAAGCTCAGGAGTCTCACACTACAGGCTGGCTACCTGTGTGTGTAAAAGCATTTTTACCTCCTCTCCCTAAAAAAAAATAAAAAAAGGTAGACCATGCTTACCCGGCATAAGTCCTTTAACTTGAAGTTTTCCATCAGCACTTTTCATAATCTGAACCTTTTGTTGGGTTTGAGCTGAAACAATTCAAATTCATTAAACCCTTCCTTTTAAATAATTTTCTTCTGATATTAAAATAAGAGTAGCTTATATGTCGTTGGTAAGTGGTAACTTAAATTAACAAGTCAATTTAGTTATTTGATTGCATACGGTGTGATAGGAGTCATAACATTCTGGTGATAAATTAGTATTTTTTAGCGAGGAGTTTATGAATATTCGGCTTCCTTGGTGACATTGGTGACAAGGGATCTTTCAGGAAAAATGGAGGACTGGTTAGTTCATGAAGAGACATTAAGTGATCATCGGCTAATTACTATGAAATTGCGAGGAGATCAAAGTAATCGGATAATCCAGAATGAACAGAGGCAAGGATCATACTGTTTAAGGAAGGTAAATTGGGCGAAATTTGACGAGGCTCTACAGAGAAGCATGCAGGAAATGGAAGTTGAAATGGCTACAACAGAGGTTCATGCAGAAAGGATTACAGAAATGACGTGCAAACTGATGGAGGAACAGTTCCCAAAAGCAAAATTAGGTACGAAAAAGGTATACTCTTGGGTGGACAGAAGAGCTGGATGAATTGCGAGTAAAAATGAGAAGGAAAAGTAGGATCTGGAGAAGGACAGGGAGTGAAGTGGACAGGAGAGCATTTGTTAGGTCAAGGACAGATTACGTATGGGGAATCAGGAAGCAAAAGAAGAATATGTGGGAAAAGTTAATTGCGGAGGAAGAGGGTGACCCGTGGGGAAAGGTTTATAAGATTGCTGCAGAGAAGCTGAAAAAGGATACTGTGCTGGTTAGCCTGGAAAAAGAAGACGGTACAATGACAGAGACAGTGCAAGAGACCCTAGAGAGAATGATACAAGGATTGCTGCCAGACGATAGAGAAGAGGAGGATACAGAGGAACAAGCAAGAATTAGAAGTATGATGATTGATGAAAGCACTGGAACAGATGAGGAAGATTTCACAGAAGGGGAGCTAACTGCATGTGTTTCACTGCTGAAGGATAGGAAAGCCCCGGGAGTGGATGGAATAAAGAACGAAGTAGTTAAGAGAATGTTTGGAAGGATCAAGGGGACGCTGTTGAACCTGTACAACAAGATGCTGAGAGAAGGTAGGTATCCTGATGTGTGGAAAAAAGGAATCGTCAAAGTTTTTCTAAAGAGCGAGGAAAAGGACCCAAGTAAGGTGAAATCGTACAGGCCAGTAACCCTCTTACCTGTCTTAGGAAAGTTAGGCGAAAGATTAATAGTGAAAAGGATGAAAGAATGGATGGATAGGGAAAATAGGGCAAATCCACTGCAATATGGATTCACGGAAAGTGTTGGAACTGTAGACACACTTCTGGATATGAGAAGAGAAGTAGAAGAGACAGATGAAAAGTACGTAGTAGGCTTGTTCCTGGATATTTCTGGAGCCTTCGACTCCGCCTGGTGGCCAGAGATTCTGAGAGTTTTGAGGAGATGGCGATGTCCGAACAACATCTACCGATTGGTAAGGGACTACTTCCGAGGCAGAACCGTGACACTAAGAGCTGGCAACGGAGAGGTGAACAAGAACATCACTAAAGGATGCCCCCAAGGGTCTGTGGTGGGCCCTCTGTTGTGGAACATCCTGTTCGATGGGTTTTTGCGGCTGCCTTTTGAGGAAGGTATCTCCGCGAGAGCCTATGCGGATGACGGACTGCTTTTGGTGAAGTCGAACACAAGCCCTGATCTCATGAGGAGGGCATCAAGAGCCTTGGAACTGGTCACTAGGTGGGGGGAAGACAGGAAGATGACTTTTTCGAGGGAAAAGACAGTGATGGTGCTCCTGAAAGGAAGGTTGGTTGAAAGATTCATCCGTGTCGACATGGGAGACGTGACAATTCGGTGTTCAAATGAGACAAAGTACTTAGGAGTCGCAGTAAGAAGTGGATTGAAATTTGCAGGACATTATGAGCAAGTAATCGACAAGACTATGAGGGCATTCGGAAAGTTAAAAGGACTGGCCAAGGCAAACAACGGCATGAGATGCGAGAACTTGAGAAGATTGTACATCGGTGCGCTTGAACCAATGATGCTGTACGGCTGTGAGATGTGGGGCCAACGAATGAGGGGACGAGGTGAGAAGTCAAAGTTGATGAGTCTGCAGAGAAAACTGTTGTTGGGTGTGATCAAGGGCTACAGCACGATATCCCACGAAGCTGTCCGAGTGATTGCCGGGGTAATCCCGCTTGACTTGATGGTTGAAGAAAGGATTAAGAGAAGAAGGGACAAAGAAGAAGGTATCAACGTCAAGGATAGCATGAGGATCCGAAGAGAAGAAACACTCGTTGACTGGCAGAGACGGTGGGAGTCTAGCACAAAAGGAAGGGAAACCTTTGCGTTCGTTCCGGATGTGAGGTTCAGAAAGAAAGTCCATTGGGAAACCGATCACTACACTACACAGTTCGTCAGCGGACACGGCAACTTCAAGGCAAAGCTGAAAAGTTTCAACCTCGTCGATGATGACCATTGCACTCATTGCGGAGAGCTGGAGACATCGCAGCACGTACTGATGGAGTGCCCATTCTATGAAGAAGAAAGAAGAGACATGAGGGAATTCCTCCAACAAAAGACATGGGATTGGGAGAAGATCAACTTCTTGAGAACCAAAGAATCTGCACTGGAGTTTGCCAGAATGTGCCGAAGGTTAGGGAAGAAAAAGCATGAATTTGAAAATGCAGGAAGACAGGCTGGAATTTGAAAAGAAAAATGTTAGAAAAGAAAGATAAAATTAAGAAGATTGGAAAGAAAGAAAAAAAAAATCCGATGACCCTAGTACAGAGGGTACTAGGTGAGGGGAGAGGTGTTGGTTAGGCACAGAATGTGCCTGGAAGGACATGGATTGAAGCTGACAGCAGGAAGAGGAATCCGAAGATATTTCAGGAAAGCGGCCTGGTGAATAAGTCTCTGACTTAAACCAGGGGTGGTGGAGGGACCGAAACCAGGGGTGGTGGAGGGACCGCTGGGCTTCGGCCAAACACCTCTCTCTCTCTCTCTCTCTCTCTCTCTCTCTCTAACATTTTGTAGTAGGCTATCTATTGACTTGAATTATAACAATGTTTTAAAGTTCAGAGTTCAGTCCAATCTCAATAATCTGACATTTGCCAGTCTGACAAGTTCGGTAATACGATAATTTCATAAGGTTTACAGTAGAAAATAACTTTTCTTGTCTTTTTTAATAATTAAGGCTATTTTAAATCGTTTTTATTAGCTCGCTTTCTTGTCTGTTTGGTACAAATTTTCTATTTTAAACTAACTTCCCGATGTGTTAGAGACTTGAAACTTGAAACATAGCTCACAAATGGATGACAATGCAATATTATATAATTTTAATTTTAATATTTCCCTTGGGCTACGCCCCATGGGCTTCCAAATTTTCGATGTTAACATTTTGGAAGAATGTAAATATATCATTATCATTGAAGTCAGCTGTAAATACTTTAATTTGACAGTTTGTTCAAAGAGCAGAGGTACAGGTTCTGCTCCCGAGAGATTCAAAGTTTTAGGATTATGATAACAACAACATCTAAATACAGTTAAAAAGGGGTTAGTTATGTATTAACAGGCTATATAAAATAGATTTAATATATTTACACCTTTAAGACTAAAAAGTTGAAAAATAATTATAGGTTAAATAAAAATACTTTTTTTAAATGCCATGTTTTTAAACGCACTAAAAGTAGAAAATAATTTATAATTATGTAGAGAGAATAAATACTTGTAAGATTTAAAACGAAAAACGTGGGGCGCATGCAATAGATAATAATAGTTCAATAGGTGAAGGTAATTGCAAATTAGCATGCGCCCTGCGGTTTAAAAACATTCTCTCCACATATTTATAAATTATTTTATACCTTTTAGTGTGTTTAAAAATGTGGTATTCAAAAAGTTTTTTTTTTATTTATAAATAATTGCTAGGCCTATCTTATGAATTATTATATTGTTTTTTATTAAGTCTACATGCAGTAATGAACGTTTCAATAAATTAAACTATTGTAAATATTTTTCTTCTTTAAACTATTGTATTTATCATGAAGTAGTGCCATAAATGTTTTTCTGAAATTTTACCTTCTAATCAATGGTATTTATCATTGTACCCTTGATATTCTGAAATTGTTAATTCGACAACCTGAAGTTCCCAAATCTGTCGGACTATCAAGATCGGCATGTATAAAATATTGAAGCATAACTTGCAAGATTGATCATTTCAGTCTCAATTTAAATTATAACAAACAAGAAAATTAATCTATTATAAATAATAATGTTTATTAGGGGTGTGCGAAGCAGCAAAAAAATTTCGATTCGAAGCAACGATTCGATTCAAAGAATTTTCGATTCGAATCGAAGCAATTCGATTCGAAGCAGCACGGCATTTTCATTTTCATACTTGTGAATGGAGTGAAGTTACAGCAATTAAATTTACCAGATTAGTGTTCTGCAAAATGTTTGTTTATGTGGTAATTGACCTATATACTATACTCCCATACTTATGACATAGTTTGAACAATGAATATTATGTGCAGCATAATATACTGTTATGCAAAGTGCCTATTTTTATAATGTTTATGTTTATATAGAATTGTGTTTACACTGTTATAGGCCTAACTGATTGTACAACTTAAGATTTTTTGTGTATGATATGAACAAATAAAAACCTTGATAAGATTTTTACTGAAATTCTCAATAGGTTCACTCCTATAGAATAAGAGGCTAGAATCATGCCTACAAACCATAAGACTACTTTATAGACCATGTCCAGCTAAGTTCACTTGAAAAGTTTTAGGCAAGCTTAAAGAGTGGTTTTGTATAGGAAGTTGTTAAGAAAACGACAAATTCAGCACGATGATTTATTGAATGACTAATTTAATTGTGCTAAAGAAAACAGCAAAAAAACAGTATTAAAATATCACCATTTAACAACAAGACTACCATAACAAGATCAAAACATAATCAAATTAAATGTCTAAATGAACATAAAATACCCCTTTAT